GATCGACTGTACCGAAGAAAGTGGAGGGAGCAGTTTCTCTGAATAGTAATAAATACGTGTTTGTTTGTTGAAGGAAGTGTGTTGAAACCACAGAGCCAGGGGGAGTCGTTGTGTCACCTTTGTTGAGGAGAGAAGGCACCCGCCCAGCCGGTGTGTGTTAGAAGCAGTAATCCCTGATTGAGAGGCCTCTCGGCACACGATATCGGAAGTGTTTGAATGATAAGGCTTTTGAAGTGTCCCGTCTGTAAGATAAGCCATGAGTACAGTACTGTGGTCTGTAGATGATTGTCAACATTTCCATCTTTGCCTCTAGAAGAAACAGCTCAACCAAGTTTTGTGAACTTGAACTTACCAGGACTGTTCGTTATAATGCTTCTAGTGATTCAACGTATCGACACAGCGTCAGCGGTTCATTGACGGTATGCTTCAAGTTTCTGAACACACCCCAACCACTGTCTCAGCGGGATTATTATGACCGTGTACTAGTGTTGTGTCCATAACAAATTGTAGAACATCTATCGCTGCTCCTGTGTTTTGACGGTACGGCTTATCCTGCTAAGAATACTGAACGATTAACACCTGTTATTATGTATGGATCCACAATTTCTACCATATCCGGGGCAGTTTAACGCTGAAAAAAAAAACTAGATACCTGTTAAGTACAGTGCGTACTGCATATCCCTGTGCGGGTTCTACGCGGTAGTTGAGTGGAGGAATGGTGGTTTGTAGCCTAAAAGCTGTAAAACAGGAGGAAGGAGAGCCCCCCGCTGTGCATGGGTCTTGTATCCCAATTACCAGCAACTGGGTTCTGGCAGCAGGGGACCCACAGCTGTAATTGCGCGGTCGTTTCGTATAGATTTTACTATTATGGTCCGTCACGGGATGTCGGTCGCAAAGGTCAGGATCCCAAAAGTTGCTCTATGAAAATTTTACCCGTTGTCTTGGATACTGTTATGGGATTGTTGATGTAACTTATATTGTGTGTTATGGATCCTTTATGTAATAGTTATAGCGAAAATACACAAGTCCGGCTGTTGAGGATGCTTGCGTGCGTCAGATAGTCCAGTCCATTGTTTGGCTGTGTTTGAGAATAAATTTGTTCTTTTTCCCGTACCCCCCCCCCCTTAAACCTTTAGAAAAAAGTAATGTGTGCTAGTGTGCTGAGGTTGATTCGGTCATACATATCGTTATGTAGTGATGTAGAATGTGACATTAACATAGTTTCACAGTTTAAGGTAACAGCACAAAGGGAAAGTGGGGTATAAAAAGATTCTGGTGAGAGAAGTGAAGCGTGATCTAGCGTAAAGATGACATCATTGGGTAATCGTGTCCGCAATAGAGATTTGCTCCTCGCCCTGGAGCTATGGTGAGAATTTAACAGTGAAAAATGGACACAACTCAAACTACACTTAAACAAATACTGTATATATTTATAACGAGTGCGAACCCCATTTGGTGTCATTCTCCTTGGCTTTCGGTAGTCTAGTATCATGCAAGAATGTGTACACGAGACTGAGTGACGGATGAGTAATCTCCTGCACGATTCTCCACTCGTCCTCTGTCGTAACCCTAACACCACAAACAGAAATATAACCGGGTGTTCTTATTTATCCAAGTCAATTCTTCAGTTTCATCATACACGACACAGCTTACTCTATGTGTGGTAAGTGTGATTTAAACGTACTATGAGCAGCCCTCATTATCCACACAGCGGCAGTGGCTCTCTGGCTATTTTTGAACAAACCGAAGCCACGTGTGTTGAGCGGGAGTGGGTGGTGGTGACGTAGGGAGAAGTGGGTGGTAGGGAGTATGGGAGGGTAAGGAAAGAGGAGGCAGGGATTAGGAGTTGTTGGGGAGGGAGTCGAGATTGTTGGGATTAGTCGATGGTGGGTTAGGAAGGTGGGGGGGGCTAGGGTGACCGACCACAAGGAAGCCGCCAGGCCAGGCGAAGAGCCCTCAAGCGCCCATGAGAGACAGACTGGGGTGGGTGTGTGTGTGTGTGTGTGTTGGTAGTGGTGGTGGCCCCAGTACCTGCTCCACCACCACCACTACCACCAGTAGAGCTTCAACCACCACCCAGTCAGCTGTGAGTATAGGTGAACTTTCCATCACTGCTTGCCGGAACATTTGTGGATAGGAGTGAATAAGGTGTCTTCAGTACTTAATTACCTGACGTTACGTGCTCCTTACTGGATAATAAACCCGACCAAGGATCATTGTACCTGCTAATCTTGTCCCAGATCGTTTTGATAATATCTGTTTACATTAGTTTGGTGTTTATAATTCGAAATCTTATGTCTATCCTGTAAATGAATAGAGGATCTGTTGACCTCAAGTGCTGCGTCTTGTCAGAAAAAGCCAAGCGAGAACTGTGGTGGATAACTGGACAACAACTGCTCACCCTGAGGAGTTGTGGTCGTTCCATAGTATAAGAGAATAAATTGTATGCTACGTGTAATACATTTGTACAGAAATTAACTGAAACAACGTGATGAGTTTTAAGAAATAAGGGGAAGGCTGTGTCAAGGTCAACGATGTGTAGTGAAGGTAAACACAACCATATGACGAGTGATGTGTGTGTGTCTGTAACCGTGTCAGGTGATGGTAAAAGAGATGAGTGTGATAAAGGTACTGTGAGTGAACCGTAGTCTTGGGTACTGTGAGTGAACCGAATCTTGGGTACTGTGAGTGGACCGTAGTCTTGGGTACTGTGAGTGGACCGTAGTCTTGGCCAACATGTGGGTTTATAAGATATGTTGTTAATAGTATGAAATAATGGTCAGGTAACTGGAGTAGTTTCATCTATCAAAGGTATAAGATTAGGTAGCTAACATGGAAAGTGTGTATATACAGCATGTGGCTGGCAAGAGTCAGTAGTGTGTGTGTGTGTGTTTGAGGAAGTACACGGGATGACAATTAACGGGATAATTGTACAAAGATGATAAAAGAAGGAATTACTTTTTTTTCGAATTACCACCACACCTGTCTAGCCAATTGTCCTGCGGTGTGTTGATAGTTGTGAAGGTCAGAGGAAACGAAGACATTATAGCAGGTAGACCAGAATCTTGTTTTTGTTTACAGTAGACCCACATTAACGGGTTTAAGTTGGATAAGTTTAGGTTTAAGAGGGAGATAGGAAGGAACTGGTTCACAAATAGGGTGGTAGACGAGTGGAACAAGATTAGGAATTTTTTAGTAAGTGCTGGAACGCTGGAAAGTTTTAAATGGAGGCTAGATAGATTCATGGATGATAGAGAGTGGTAGTAACTCTCGACAGGAGCTGCCATGCACAGGCCAACCGACCTATTGCAGACTCCTTATGTTCTTATGTTATCTCATCTTGCTAGAGAGTCGAATGCGCATGCTTAGTGAAGTTAGATTAGACTCAGGTGGTTCGTGTCTTTTGTCAGTAAGGATTATTCTGTATGCAGGTGTTGCATGTCCGGCTCCGTAGTAAAAATAAATTGAGGGCCAGAACAAGGTCGGTAGCCACAGTAAACAACAACAAAAAAGGCAGTTCTGGGTGGGTGTTTGGGAGGGGAGTGGACCTTGTTAACATTTATGAGCGTGGATGGGGTAACGAGACCATCTACTATAGTTACTAGACATACACTATACATGCTTGAACTGATGAGGAAGGTTGACCCACTTACGTCCATTTCCTAACTGAGTGTGTGTGTGTGTTGTTTCCTCATTAACATTTTACCATTTCTTTAACAGATCATTGCTATTTCCTAACCGTATACTGTCAAATTTCGTGTTATGTCCTATCCAACCTCATGCCACTGTTCTAACCCAACTGATGGTGAAGTTGAACACGACGTAAAGAGAGGAGTACTGTACTCTGAAATAACTATACATTAGACGTCTGAAGGTCAGGACGTGTTACTGTACGAGGGGCATCTGGAGACTTAAGTATCCAGATCAACAGTTTTCACCTATTAGAAAAGTATTTTTTTTGTCTCATCAGCGCCATCGTCTTGGGGGTTTCCGGCCGGGGGTACAAAACACCTCTGTAATTTCATTTTGATGTCATTTTGTTTTAAGGAATATAAGTGACCAGAGTCTTTAAACACTGTTCACCGAGAAGAAATTATTCTCCCTTGTTTTATGGATTCCTGAGCTTCAAACACCTCCTATAGCCTTGGGCAGTGATCCCCAACCTAAGCCTACGACCTGTTTTTGGTGCGGCCTACGAGCCTTCCCGTAAAAGGTTAGGTATGTGGAATTTCATGAATCATTTATCATTCGAGTCTTGTTTACAATAGCGTATTGATATAAATAACTACATATAAGGGTGATATGTTTCATGTATGATTGTGTAGGTAACTAATTTATTCACTCTCCTATTTTGAAGTGTGAGCATTTACCATCACCCCCACGTTTAACCATTTAATGTGGCCCTCTTACTCAGAAAAGGTTGGGAACCACTGGGCCTAGAGTCTTTAACCTCTTGAAGACGATGACTTTACTCCCTTGAGTACGATGAGTTAACGTTAACCCTTTGAATGCGATTAGTTAAAGTTCTTAAACCCCTGAGCATGATGACGTGATGCCTAAAGGGTTGGTTATATAATCGTACTCAAGGGGTTTTGTCATTCTACTTAAGGGGTTAAGTCGTACTCAAGGAATTAAGTCATCGTACCCAAGGAATTAAATCATCGTACTCAAGGGGTTAAAGAACATAAGGTCATTGTACTCAAGGGGTGAAGCATATGCCACCGAACATCAATCAAGATATTAGTTTCTGTGGACTCGTTAAAAAGGGGCGTTGTTTTATGTAAGTAATGGAGGCGTCATGTGTTTTTTATCAACGACCGATAATATGTGAGGGTGTATTGACCAACATGTCTCACTTCTGCACCTAGTTATCGCCATTAACATCCGGTACAGTGTATGTGTGTGTCGAGGGCACTTGGTGGCGGTATAGCGTAGCCTGAGTGCATGTAGGTCTGTACATGTAGGATGGTCAGGGTGCGTTTTCTGTAGTCAGGGTGTTTTGTGGTGGTTCAGGGTGCGTTTGTAGAAGTCCGGGCGTGTTGTGACTGATCTGTATAAGTTGTAGGATGGTCAGAGTGCGTTTTACAATGGCCAGAGTGCGTGGTAAGGCTGAGTGTGCGTTGCTGGGTATTCAAGAGTGCTGTGTCATCTCTTTAATAGTAGGATTTCAATCTACTGTATTTGTGTGCTAATAGCTTTATTGTGACGTGTGTGAGGGAGGGTTAGAGACACGTGGTTATGTATTAGAGAGGGCGAGAGACATAAGAAAATAAGGAGTCTGCAATAGGCCGGTTGACCTGTGCATGGCAGCTCCTGTCGAGAGTTACTACCACTCTCTATCATTCATGAATCTATCTAGCCTCCTTTTAAAACTTTCCAGCGTTCCAGCACTTGCTACAAAGTTGCTAAGCTTGTTCCACTCGTCCACCACCCTATTTGTGAACCAGTTCCTTCCTATCTCCCTCCTAAACCTAAACTTATTCAACTTAAATCCGTTGCTACGAGTCCTGTCCTGCTCTGATATTATAAGAACTTTATCTATATCGCCTTTATTGTGGTTAAGTTAGGCTAGGTTAGGTTATTGTCCTGCTGATGTATACCATAATATTTTTAACACAATCTTGCCTCATCTCATTTGACTGCGTAATTCAGACACAACTAACTGGTTATGTAAACTCTGAGATATCATTTTTTTTTACGATTTTAAACTTCGTTACGCTGCCAAAATACTCAAGACGTTAGGCAATATGTACCTACTGCCTTTCTTATTTAGATTGTCAATAACAACTTTGGGAAAAAGTCTCTAATGTTAAGAATAAATATGCATGACCCTCAGGTGGATGACACATGCTGCCACAAGTGAAGGAGTTTTGTCCGTAAATGTACAGATCTGAATTTGCACTCCGTTGAGTGAGGGGTGAGATGATAGAGGTGTATAAATGGAAGTCAGGGTTACACAAAGGTCATATAACAAAGGTACTTAAACTATCCAAACAGGAACAAACTCGTAACACTAGTTTTAAATAAGACAAATTTAGATTTAGGTGTGAGATAGGTAATCACTGGTTTGGAAATATAGAATTGGATGAGTGGAGCATGTTACCGAACATAATCATTAACTCGAACACGCTGGGTAGCTTCAAACATAAGTTGCACAGCCATACAGTATATAAACAAGATGGGTTCTCGGAAACATTATCGTGAATTATTATTATTAACATTTAACTTATTATTATTATTATTATTATTATTATTATTATTAGCAAGTACACGACGGTTGTTAATGGTGAGAGGACATGTGGCTCTACAGTTAGCACCCGTAGTGTTTATCACGTGTAAAGGATCAAAATAACATGTGGTTGTGTTTCTGACAGTCATGGTTAGGGTGTTTTGTTGTTTGAGGGGTACACGTGGCTACCATGTGTGTCTCTCCTAACAAGTCCTTCTCTGTCTTATCCGCGCCTCCTCTCCAGGTCCCTTACTGTTTCATTTATTGCCCCGTTATCCCCCCCTCCTCCCTCTCCCCTCCTGGTGTGTTGTGGTCCCATCCTTTTCCCTTCACCCCTCCCTTCACTCCCTTCTCCCGACTGCCTTCCTTCCACACCCTATTCCCAACCCTCAAGCCATCCCCTGACTCGCTGACCCACCCTCGGCTACCCCTGCCTTTTCCCCCTCCTCCCGGCCACGACTGGCGAGGAGGAGGAGGAGGGGGGTGGGGGATGACCGTCTTTGAGCATGACACGGGCAAGGCAGTCATCAAAGGAACTCGGGGTAACTATATCCTTGCCATGAAACTGCTGCCCTGCATGTGATAAATTGCCTAGCGTCCTACCTTGAACCTGGAGCTAGCAACACACACACACACACACCTGCTTTCTATCGTTAACAGTAATGATAACATGTGTATTGTTGAGGTTGTTTTATAGGACCTGATGTACCGGTATTATATTTCACTTTCCCTTTGATTCTCTTCCATGTGTATTGTACTGGAGATGTGTGTGATGCCGTTTTGTCTTGATCTTTCATTTTAGTAAACCTATGTCTATCTTCTTGGAATGTCACTATAGGTTTCACTCTCATCACAACAGCCTATAAAATCGAGCCTCGTTGTATGTATGATGACGAAAACAGCGAAACCGTGTCATGTATGTTTCTTCATTTTAATAGATCAGAACGTGAGATGCAGTACTACCTTGTTTGGTGCATTGGTGTCGGTGAGAGCGAGATGTCGACCTTGGGGGAACTAAATGTCATATTAAGACTTTAGAAGTTATTAATGGCCTTACGGGACCGATTAACAATAGTCTTTCAGTTATCTTAGGAATTGTGTGAGAACAATATTGGAGTCTTACGTAACCATGACGACCTCCCCCCCCCAAAAAAAAATCTGATGTTGCCTTGATATGAGACGTGATAAGGCGACTGATTTTACCATTAACCTTTAAAAAAAAAACAGTGTACCGTTGGGGACTGCCCAGTATGGGTCAATAGGCCCGCTGCAGTTTCCTCCATTCTTATGTTCTTATGTATCAGATGCATATCATATCCTGATCCCCCAAAACAGTGATTGTAATGATACATACGACTGTGGGGAGGGGGCACGCTTTTCTACACTTTCACACAGCGTAAAGGGCAAGTGCTTGGTGCGTGCCAGTGAGGGTGCATGCTGGGGTGGTAGTTGCATGACCTGATGTGACATTATGCTAAGTACCCCCTCCCCCCGTGTGTGTGTGCGCCAGGTGGGGAGGGGAGCAGGTAATGAGCAAGGATACCATGGGTGGGCTTTGTTGTTGCCTCAGGGTCACGTCATTACGGGTAGGGAGGTTGGGGGGGGGGGGATGAATACTTTAATTTCAGTGTTTTAGGCAAGAGTCGTTTTGGTTGATTGTAATGTATAATGAGTGTGTGTAAGAGGGAGAGCTTGTTTTATCAATTTGAGGTATCATTGACGATCATCTTGCGTGTGTGTGTAGCCGCCGGTGTAAGCAATAGTCAGCTTGTGGCAATATTCACGAGGCAGAGTGCGTGAGAGAGCAGCTGATGGTTGTTATCTCACGGTCATAACACACAGAAAGCTTGCAAAGCATTTAACCATTTCTAGCCAGTACAGATTCTCTCAATAAAAAAAGGGTAAATAGAAGAATCTCCACCTGAACGTTATTTTACCTAACCATATTTGTAGGGGGGGGTGAGGTTAGGTTAGGTTAGCTTTCGGTGAAATAAGCTTGAGTGGTGATTCTTCAGGTGATTCCTTTTTTAATTCGTCCCGCCGAAGTTATTATTATATACTCGTTAATATTCTATAAGTTACTGTACAACTTTATGCTTCAACCTCTGTTAACGGACGTGTGTATCCTCGCGTGAAGGAAAAAAAAACTTCTCATAGGAACATTTTATATATCTTATTAGCATCAAATTGTAAGTAATATTATATCAAACCTTTAAATTACTCCCAGCAATAGGAATAAATGGGAGGGGGGGGGGGGGTTTGTCAGTTATGTGGATAAAGAAGATTTCACATGGTACTATCTTGTTCATTGTCAAAAAGTGTAGTTCTTTCATTTGTTCCTGTCTTTTCTTAGCTTTAATACATGTAGCTTGTATTCGTGGATTAACAGGATAGTTTAGACAATTTATGGTGAGTAATGTATAACAGAAGGAGACATTGGCCGATTTGTTGTTGCGGTTTGATAGCGTTATTTTGACGCGGTGGGGCGGGTTGACTCAGACGGCTGGCGACGTTGCTACAACTGGGGTGTCAACCAACTGAATTTTGGCGATTGTTGTGTCCAGGACCGCCATCTTTATGAGTCTAGTTAACATCAGGTTGACTGGGCGTTTTTCTTATCGTTGACCCAAGTTGGAAGAACATTAGGGTTTACTTTATCATAATTAAAAAAAATTGTGATCGTAAACTGGAATGAATTACCTTTTCGTTAATCTGTATAGCGTAGTTTTTGCGTTGAAATAAAGTGTTATTATTTGTTTGCGAATAAGATATGGGCCAAACTACAGTTACCACTCTTAAAAAGTATATGAAATCGATTAATGTGTTTTTAACCTTGAAACTTAACGCTTTAACCTGAAATAATTAAAAACTGTGTGTCAGGAAGGGAAGCGGGGGAGATGGTCGCGCACTATGCATTACCATAGGTTTGGCACACTGCTGGCGGGTAGCCTTCATGTGTGTGTGATAAATGGTTGTGGAGGGTTTTTTTTTCCTTGATTTTTCTCAAGTTGTAAATTTTGTGACAACCACCACATGGACGAGAGCAGTCACACACACACACACACACACACACACACACACACACACACACACACACACACACACACACACACGAGTGACTCACATACCCCACAAGGTCTGGTACAACGTTACCCATCATAAAGTTAATTATATCACAGTAACTAATTATATCTCGCTGAGTGCCAGACAGTTCTCTGGGACATGCCTCGAACACCCTTGTCAGTGCTAACATTTTACCTTGTGTGTGTGTGAGTGACTTTTTGTGGACAGGAATGGATGCAAATGTACACCTGTGTATATATACAGTATATTTATGTAAACTTCTCCAAGTGTGTGTGTCTGTATTTTAGCATTTTTTATATGGTTCGACGCTGTGCTCTTGACACCAACGATACTAGTTTTGGAGGTTATACTATCTTGTGATACAAACAGGTTGGTTAATATTAAGTATAACATGTCCGGACACTGCCATGAGAACAAAAATATATATTAATCATTTCAAAATCCCAGGGAAAAGATTAAAATAAAGAGAATGATTTAATTATTGGTTAGAATTTATTCCCAGGCAGTGAGGTGAGGTGAGAGAGGCAGAGGCTAAAGGTCTTCTTCAGCATATTGTCTTAAAATGGACAGGTAACACGAGTACGGTGCACGTGTGAAAGTCCATTAAGACATGAAAATATTTACGAGTTGATGGTCAAAATAATAGTGTCATGGTGTTCTGTTCGTCATGTTTTTGGGGCGTTGTTAAGTTTTGTAATGGGTCAGATAATTAGTGGATATTCTCTACTACTACTACCTATAATAATAATAACACCACGAAGTAATAACGACAATAATACCGGATTATATT